TATTTGAAGATGTGGATGATAGGCATTTAATGTGCCCTGGCATTTAGAGAATTGTTTGGAGTAAAATCACAATGATTTTTTTTTTAAAAAAGCTTTTAAAAAGGGAAAGATGATTTTTATCCTTTTCTATTTAACCTGCCATTGATGTTTTAAGGTGCTCAGAGAATTCTCTTTGTGGGAATTTGGGAAGGACAAATGTTGATGTGTACACTAGAGAATTAAGACAAATGATAATTGAAAGAGATGATAAAAGCTAGTGGTTTCCATGGGGAAATAATCACAAACTGCTGTCAGACTGATTCCAATAAGAACATTGCTTTATGTGAAATGTTTTTTAAACAGCTCAAGCAAAGCATTAAGCCAGAGCACTTCTGAGGGCATCTATTTGCAGTGTTTCTATTATATCCCCATCTGAGACTCCTCAACTTAATATTATTCACTGTTCCAGCTGCTGTGCTTAGCTTCTTTGTGGTCAACACTCAGTTGGAAATGAAAAATATTAGGTTGCAAGAAGAATACTATTTGCGGACCCTTAAGATATAATTCTATAGTTTCACCATATTGATTTGCCATATGGATTTGAAATTATTGATCTGTGAAGTTACTTTTGCGTGTTAGCCCAGGTTAAATGCTACTACTGTGTTTAGGTTTTCTCTTTCATAATGCAGGAAAAACCTTTGATGTGCTTTTGGGCTTCTAGCAGTGGAGGCTGCTTCCCATGCTCTGCCTTTGTATTTTCAGGCATTTATTTTGGAGTAATACTCAGGCATTGCAACTTTCTGTGCCCCCAGCGTGTCCTGTTGAGATTTCTGTCAGAGCCCCTATAACCTTTATTGCATTCATTGGTTTACACAGCTGTGGCCTATATTAAATTGTAACACAGAGCCTGGCATGTGGCACAAATGCCCACTGAATGAATGAATGACTCCTTGGTCAAGTCTCACTGCCTCTTTCCAAAGAATGCTGGAACAAGAAGCCTTCCATTTGCTCCTGCTGGCCCAACCTCCACCCTGTTCCACCCCGGGAGGCTGACCTGCAGGGACCTAGCACAGCCTCACTTTGAGTTTGACCAATAGGAGGCAGGAGACTGTTGGGGGGGCGCAGACAGTTAGCGTGGACTATGTAATAGGATTGTCTGTATTCCTCTATTGCAGACTTCTCCATGTAGTTCCCTTTAGGCTTGTAAGCGCTCTCTGGTGTTATCAGACACAGATATTGCATTATTTATTCCTTATTGGTTTCTTTAAGCCCTGGCTACACCTTTGTAAATAGTCTTTTTGTTAAATTCTCTCAAATTAGCCAGTTTGAATGAGCCCACTGGATCCTGCTGGGACCCTGACTGACTGCCCAAGTCACCCAGATGACAACCTTGGTTATAATCTAGACATCATAGGGGTGAACGGTGTAATACCTTTCCTCACTCATGGTATGCACACAACCAACACTCCTTTAACAGAAGACAGGTTAATGAGAGAAAAGCACAACAAATGTATTTAATCAAAGTTTTACATGACATGGGAGCCTTCAGAAATGACCCAACGATGCAGAGAAAATGATCTCTTTTAATGCTTAGTTTCCATGAAAATGTAAAGCTACATGGAAGTGTGATTGGACAAAAGGGTCTGATCTCATAGTAGTAGACTGAGGGGGGAACCCCAGCAAGGACTGTCTGTTCAGCTGCTTCTTGGTCCCTCTGTGTAGTGTTTCTTCATCCTGGGTATGGGACAAGATCCTTCTGGAGCAGAGGTATTGGGGGAGAAGGGAGAGAGTGATCTTTATAGATTTCACAGCTTGCTTTGGGGAAGAGCGTCTCCAGTTTCTCTCACCTGCCTTGCAGAAGAGGAATTCTGGTTTCTAGAACTCACTTTGGGGAAGAAAGAGAAATGAGGGGCAGGAAGGAGACAAGATCAGGGATAACTTTCCTTTGAGGCCCATCCAATGCCCTTTTGAGACAGCCAAGTATAAATCGAACCCGGGAGAAACTGACTGGCCTCGCACTGGGAGGAGTGGAGGCTGGGGCAGAGCCTCGGGAAGTTGTCAATGTTTGCAGCGGGGAGGAGCCTGGGATTCAGTCTGTGAGGCAGGAAGCCAGCTAGCAGAACTTTTGCTTTGCTGAGAGTCCCTGTTTCCCTTTTTTTGCTTTTTGCTCAAAAAACTCCATTTTTCTCACCCTTCAAAGTGTCTATGAGTCCAATCTCTCACGGCCATATGACAAGGAGTCCATTTTATCTGCACTAAAGAGAAAGTCCTACAACACTTTAAAGTACATAACATGCCAACGCACTAGACTTTCAGGAATCATGTTCTGAGCCCCAACAACATCATAGTCTGTCTCCCTTGCATTATTTCAGTAACCACCCTTTTCTAGGCCAGCCTATCTCTGAATTAGAATCAGCTGGAGCAGGAGTCGGCAAACTACAGCTTGCAGACCCAATTCAGCCTGCTGCCTGTTTGTGTAAATGGAGCTTTATTGGAAGAGAGCCATGACTCTTTGTTTACTTACTGTCTATGGCTGCTCTTGAGCTACAACAGGAGGCGAGGAGTTGCAACAGAAACTGTGTGGCCTGCAAAGTCTAAAACATTGGCTATTTGACCTATTGTAGAAAAGGTTTGCCAACTCCTGATTTTGAGGAAAACCGTACCATGCGAACTTCATCATTTTCATCCAGGGCCAGATGTTGGAGGCCCTTGTGAGTGGTCCATGACAGTGAAGTAGGAGGTTTTAAAACCCCAGGCCTCGCTGAGTGCTCTTGGGACATCATGTTGCTGTGTTGGCTGCTGCAGCAACCTGGGAAGCACTCACTCTCTCAATGTGACCAAGCGCGGCTGGAGGCATTTGTGTTTAAATGTGTTTGCAATTTATGATTCCAGAATCGAACAATTTCCTAAAGAGAACAACTCTCCTGAATATTTTAGCGTTTTCCTATCAAAGTTATTTTGTATGTATCTGTCTCCTCCACCTGACCATGAGTGCCTCTTGGGAGAGCCTGGGCTTTAGAAATATCTGTACTCACCAGGGCCTGAGTGGCTAAGGCTCAGTAAATATTGTTTGCCCAAATGGTAATCAACATCAAATTCAAGGAAGGAAAAAAGAAATTGGGGGGTGGGGGTGGGAGGCATTAACTGGGAAGGTGTATGACTTAATGTTCTCCTGCTCTCTTACTCGAGTCTCTGCCTGCTCAGCCTGCACAGAACAAGAGCTGTAAGAAAAGGCTCTTCTTCCAGGAGGTGCCCCTCAGGGAAGACTGGCTACATGATTTGTTGGCCCAGTATAAAATGAAATGCAGGACCTCTTGTTCAAAAATTATCAAGAATTTTGACTAACTCTAGGCGTACTGCCTATGAGTTCACAAGGAGCAGTAATTAAAATTACTAAGAATTTCAAGAGAGCATCAGCAGAGGATTAAGCTGAGCATGGCCTCCTAAGACAGCACAGGTTGCATGCCCATGCAGCTGGCCCTGCTCTATGGGTTCCTGAAAAAAGTCAGCCTGTGGAAACCAGGGAAGGCTCCTTCAATCTAGAGGGACTGCATGGTGCTCAGCCCCTGCAAGGGCAGTACAGGCTGTGGGCATATAAGACTGGGGGCTCTACAGGGTTTCTGCAGTGGTGTGTGTCTAATGATGCCTACACTGAATAACCCTCCATCACTGCCAAAGTGCTTGCATTGATCTCAGACCCTCACGTGAGAGTGGATTCCTCTTACCCAAACCCAGATAGATGGTCTGGCCTCACACAGACTAACCTTGTTCCTCACTATTTCCTTGTTTTCCATGTAACCCCGAGTCACCTAGGCCACCGCATCTAGGGGCAACAAGCCGCATTTGTACTAAAGTGTCTCATGGCTGGCCTGTCTAGATGTTGCCTTCTTTGGGTTCAGACAGTTCCCACCATAGTACCTGACTGGAAAACACTGTGTATATGTGAATGATCCCTTTATCTTCCCCCAGAAGCCTCCCCTGCCCACTTCTTCACCATAAAAAGGGGCTTAGGGGCCCATTCTCACCACACTGCAGGAACCCTGTGCTAGGACACCCAAAGCCTTTCCTGGTGCTAGACATTGAGCCCATCAGCTACCGGAGCTCTCGCTTCCCCAACCTGCGAAAGCCCTCCCCGCCCCGGGAATTGCAGCAAACCTCCTGGAGGTCTCCCAGTGGTAACAACTGTGGGTAGGGAGTTCTGAGCTCTAATAAGGATTTCCTGACTACTGCCCGCTTTCTCACTGAAGGGGCTCCCATTTTTGCTTCCTCCAGACCACTGCATTCCCCAGCCCTTCATCCACTGATCCTTACTGCAAAAGGGCGCTGAGCGGGTCATCCTTAACCACTCTGCTTATGAGAACGCCCATAATCTCTGCTAACAGGTGGTGGTTAGCAGTGTTTCTAACACTTTCATCCCAAAGTGCTAGAAAGCCACCCTCCCCAGCCCTGGTGATGACAGCTCATGGGTCCTCACTTTGCATCTGCAGGGTTCCGGCAGTCAAGAAGTGTGGCCCCATCTCCTTGCATTGAGGAAGATAAGCAAATGCCCAGAGCATTTCTTTCCCACAAAGAGGAGTCCCCAGCATTATGGTGCTTTGCTTAGGGAGGCACATATTCCTGAAGCTCTAAGTTTTGGGAAACTGTCGTTGATAGGGAGTTTTTCTTCCCAGTGGAGCACGGCCTCATGTAAAATAAGCTGCAGTTAAGGGAGAGCCCAGTGGGGTCAAGTGAAGTTTGCCTTTGATCATAAATGCATAGTCAGACCATCCGGGGCCTTTGTACTGTCCTGCTTAACCTGGGAGCTGGGTTGCCTCAGGCCTCGTTTGTCTCCCTGTGAGTGATGTGGCCTTAATGACAGCAGCTCCCAAAGAGCCCCCTGCTGCCTGTGCCCACAAAACACACACATGTGTGTGTTTTGCTGACAGCTAAAGCAGCCTCACACCCTCTCTGATACTGTGTCCTTCTCCTCCCGCCCAGCTTCTCCTTCCTTACACACAACCTGTGTTTTCTGTTTCTTGCAGGGTCCCCGGTGGCATATAGATCTCCAGCCTTGGGCAGGCCCTGCTCAGTCCCTGGATGAAGAAGCCTGGAGGTTCCTGAGATATATCAGCACCACCCAGGTTGTGTTTCAGGCTCAAACCAGTTAGAGAAGAATGTAAAAGATCCTGATTGCCCCTTTGGAAAGAAGGAGGTGGGGAGGTTCTCAGCGACTCCTGATAAGGACTTGACGGGGAGGTGTGTTCAGAGGCGTGTTGCTTACACTCATCCACTCACTTGGAGGCAGATAAGATGCTTTCCATTTGCCAGGGCATGTTCCTACTTCCAAGAGTGTTACCAACCTGAAATGTTTAAATGATTCATCCCAAAGTGTTTTAAAGATCCACTTTAGAAAATTGCTTTGGAAACCATTTGAAATGACAGATTGGTCCCCGTGAGTAGGCAGTCGAGTATGTCACAAAATAAAACCATCATCTAGAAGTTCAAGCACCATTTTGTATTTGGAGGAACTTGCCTTTCCACTCTTCTGCCACAGATGCTTGGCAGCCAGGGACGTGCTAGGCAAGAGAGCAGAGGAGGCTTTGCAGGCAGTGTGCTGAGGAGTTAATGAATCCAAAGGCTCTCTATCCTCAGAGCACTTTAAATCATTACTGAGCACAGGCCTTTATTAGTGACTTAACACATTGTGGCAGCTCCTGCCCACCTCAAGGCTGAGCCAGTGCCCCGAGCAGGCAAAGAAACTGTCCATTAAGGAGAGTCTATGGCTTTTGACATGTTAATCAGGAGGTTCCATTCTCAAGTTGCCTGATCCCAGGGGGAAAGAGAGACAGAAAAGGAAATCAAGGCCCAAGGGAAATTTAGCCCTGAACTGAGAGGTGCTAGCAAATTAGGAGCTCAGACGGCCTGTGAGCTGCACATGGGCTGGCTCAGGAAGCTGCACAGTGGAGCTGGTGCTGTACGAGGGATCCTGGATTTTAAAAATCTCCCTCAAGCCCACACTTGGCATCCCTCTTCTCCTCCCCAGCCTCACTGGCAGCAAAGCCCACTTTTCCTCTGTGGGAGAGAATATATTTCTAGATCTTTAGGAGGTTAGTTTAGGAAGAAAGTCCCATTTCTCATATAATGCACTCAGACAATCATAGGGATTTTAATATTTGTCACTCAAACATGGACCTAAAAGCTTGTTGAATTAATCATGAGTGATGGGATAATAAATTAGTCCCTGTGCTTCTCATTTTATCTTATTTTGCTGCTGCAAATTAATTTGACGGACTTAGGCAGACTTAATTAAAATACTGAAATTTTAATTTTGTAGACCAATTTTACATAAAGGATAAGAATCTGGACCTCTTAACTGTGATTTTCAAAAGCCCTTAAAGGCTCCAGAAGAAAATAAGAGGTGTTAATTTTATGAATTGTATTTGAGAACTATGGGCTTCACCCACCAAAATAAATTTACGTAGTGCCAGCCACCAGGTTCCAGTTCTGTATATATTTTATATTAATGTTCCATAACTTATAAAAGGCATGTTTGCTTAGAAGTTATTGAGGCATGAAATGGTCATGTTTAGATCCCTCTTGGATCTTTCCCAGAAATTATGGACTGAGAGGAGAAAAATTCTTTTTTTTTTTTATTTTTTGAGACAGAGTCTCCCTCTGTCACCCAGGCTGGAGTTCAGTGGCACTATCTCAGCTCACTGCAACCTCTGCCTCCCAGGTTCAAGCGGTTCTCCTGTCTCAGTCTCCCAAGTAGCTGGGATTACAGGAACCCGCCACCATGCCCCACTAATTTTTGTACTTTTAGTAGAGACAGCCTTTGCCATGTTGGCCAACTGGTCCTGAACTCCTGATCTTAGGTGATCCACCCGCCTTGGCCTCCCAAAGTGCTGGGATTACAGGTGTGAGCCACTGTGCCTGGCTGAAAAAAAAAATTTTTTTTTTAAAGCATCCTCTGTAGTCCAATCTTGTAAACCTGGGTGCTTTACTTTGCTTCTCTGGCTCTCCTTGTTCTGTTCCTAAAATGGAAGAGATGGTATCAAAATTATTTCTACGATCCCTCCCAGTTCTGTGAGCTTGTAGTGTGCATAGAGTAGCATAGAATGGTTATTAACCAAGTATTTTTGAGTGCCTACAAGGTGCCAGGAACTGTTCTGGGCCCTGAGGATACAGTCTCTGCCCTTAAGGATCTAACCAACTGGTTGTGAAGGTAGATAACTGGATGTATAATTGTTATTTAGCTTGATGAGCAATAAAAGAGAATTTGTTGTTGAAGCTCACTAGAAGGATTTTTGTTGTCCTCTAAAAAGAATGATGTAAAGTTCTGGACCTCATAGTGGTTTTTAATGGGGGGCCATTTTAGCCAGGTAAGGTTCTGTGCTTTGATGTACTTCTGGGTTACTGGAAGGCCAGCAGGTGGGAGTCACCAGAGATGACATTAAATGTTTCTTAATCAGAATCCTTTACTAACCAATGCTCCCTCCCCTTCTGTATGTAATGCAAAGCTTTATGGTGGCTTTTGTGGTTTATGCCTCATTTAGAACTCATCTTGACGATGAAAGCCTGCAAAACCAGCACAATATCAGAGTCACTCTTACCTAAAACTTCCAGTTAGCAGAAGTGAGTCATAATGGGCAAGGAAAAAAATAAAAGCTCTGAAAGTACTAATGCAAATTCCACCCCCATCCTCTTATGCTGCTTTTTAACATTAAGAAATATACTTCCCCCAAATCTGTGCTGAAGCTTGTACAGCAAGGCCAGCGTCTAATATGTGCATCGTTGACATATGCATTTCTCAATTCAGAAGGAATTTGTCGAACACCTGCTTTGTGGCTGGCGTTGTGCTGGGCCCTGGGATATTAAGCCTCAATAAAACACCCCTCCATACTGGTAAATAGCTAGGGTGCAAGAGAGTTGGGTGTTCTCTAACAGGGGGCAGACAGATGGATGGGGAAAGTTTCCTAGGCTAGAGGATCTTGGGAGCAGAGGCTTAGGGTATAGGACAGCATGGCATGAGATAGCATGGGTGTGGCACCCCTTGACTTGTTCGTTGTGGTCCTGGAGGCATGGTTAGGGCCATGCATTTTTAAATGAAAATCCAGAGGATATGGCGCTTGGGTAGAGTATGCAGAACATCAAGCTCAGTTTAATTAAGTATTTGCTATTATTATTATTTTAGTGTGAAAGACCATGATACAAGGCAGAGTTCTGCAGTCCATGGTACACGATCTGCTGCTAACAAATAGTTAAATCATAAATACAGTGCTCTGTTCTAAGGGAAGTCTCCAGATTCAGCTTTTTATGGCAACCCCCAAACCATATGCCTCCAGGAAGCATGCCTTGCAGTATAAAATTAATCTAAGCAACAGTGGCTGTTTTAAAAAAGAAAATATGTTTTAAACCCTGTTTATCTATCTATCTATCTATCTATCTATCTATCTATCTATCTATCATCTATCTATCTATGTTTCTATCCATCTATCCATCCATACCTGTCTCTCTACCTAGTTATCTACCCATCTGTCAATTTGTAAGAATAACCTAAGAATAAGAACCCATGCTCTGGATATTTGGACTACAACTTTACAACAATAGTATGTGTTGTATTTCCTGCTCCACACACACACCAGGATAAAAACAATAAACATACAATTCTGCCCTTGAGCCTTTCAAAAATAATGGTACTGTATAAACATACAGCATAGAGTTGATTATTCTGTAAACATGCCGAAGATCGTTGAAGTGATTCTTAAGTTCCAAAATTTTCAGGGCTCCCTTTGCCAGATTCTACTTATGGGTTGGCAGAAATGCCATTCAAGCTTTTGGGATCCAAAATGAAATGAAAATAAATTAGATCCCTTTAAGTTAAATAACTAAAAAACATTTCAGAAAATATTTTTTTCCTGGAGTCTGTTTTCCTTTGTCTAGGCCTAATTTGCTTTATTTGGCTAAAATTATAAGGGGAATTAGAGAGACAGAGAACATAATTCGTTGAGTTGGAACTTAGCTAGAAGTTACTGCCCTCGCTTATTTTGCTTATAAGAGAGTTTATTGAAGCCCTGGCCATAAGTCTTAACTAGAAAGTTTGAAAAATCAATAGTTAATTAATTTTTAGGAGCAGAAGTTTATGGAGGACTTTCAGTTGTTTACAAAGCTAATGTTTATCAATGAGATGGTTAACAAATGGTTAAAATCAAATAATTCTTGTGTTTTATTTTTACTTATTTATTTTTTTTTCTGAGCTAAGGAAGGAAGAGGGGATGTTATCAGAGGGAGTGAATGAGAAAGAATGTCTCTTTAATAGGGATATATCTCTCCAAGATGAAATCTGTAGAGTAAGAAGAAATGCTTAAAGTAGACAAAGTGTCATCTTTAATAAAGTAAAACCCTAATTCCTGACTTTAGCAAAGGAGTTACAGCTGGATCTGAAAGTCCTGACTCCCCATCTTCAATGCCTACCTGACTCTCAGAGGCCTCTGGATAATTGTCAGCGCCAACCCCTCAGCCCATTGTTAGGGGTGGATGTCAGAGGGGCCGCTGTTTTCAGTTTAAAGCTCTGGTCCGCCAGGCGCGGTGGCTCAAGCCTGTAATCCCAGCACTTTGGGAGGCCGAGGCGGGTGGATCACGAGGTCAAGAGATCGAGACCATCCTGGTCAACATGGTGAAACCCCGTCTCTACTAAAACTACAAAAAATTAGCTGGGCATGGTGGGGTGTGCCTGTAATCCCAGCTACTCAGGAGGCTGAGGCAGGAGAATTGCCTGAACCCAGGAGGCGGAGGTTGCGGTGAGCCGAGATCGCGCCATTGCACTCCAGCCTGGGTAACAAGAGCGAAACTCCATCTCAAAAAAAAAAAAAAAAAAGAAAAGAAAGAAGCTCTGGTCCAAGTGTAGCCTTTTTTAATTTGCTAAGGCAGAGATGTGACTAGGCTGGAAAATTTCACTGGGGCTTTACAAAAGGCCTCCAGTAAACTCAAAAGGCCATCTGCCTAAAAATCACCCAGGGGAGCTTATTAAAATGCATGTTCTCAGGTATCAACCTGAGAGATTCTGCGTTTGTAGATCTGGAAGGAGGCCCAGGAATCTGCATTTTAAGTACCTCCCAGGTGAGTCTGATGTAGGTGGACCACGCCTTGAGAAATACTGTGGGAAAGGCTAGAGCTAGGTTTTGATGGCATTAGGAAGGAATGATGAGCAAGGACCTGCAACACATCATATCTTGATCTGTCATTATGGAGGTCTTCGGGGACGTGTACACAAAGAACAATAGCAAGTGGGAATCATCATACCACTTTAATAAAAATATCCCAGGAGGCTTCCCCGAAGCAGACAGCTCAGGCTTATAAGGTCCAGGCATTCTTTGGGGGCACACAGAACTGCCCTGGTCTAACTAGCTTCCCACTCGAGGTGGGGCTCAGGAAGCTGCCCATGTTTAAGGCACAGTAATCTGCCCACTAGCAGAACAGGGTCCAATGAACACATTGAGCTCTGACTAACTAGATTAGCAACTTTTCTTCCCTTAGGCGAGTGGGTGGGGAATAGGAGGTGGGCAGGCAGAGACATAATTTCCATTTATCTGTGGGAGAATAGTAGGAGATAAATTATCAAATTAACGTGTTGATGCACCCAGTTAATAAATGTATTCTGTAGCTGTTGCTTGAGAAAAGATTCAATTCCATTTTCTCTGATTATTTTTTCCGTTAAACAGTGGTTGAAGATAGAGAAGTAGAAAAATACTGGATTCGAGGAAAAGATACATAGGGGTTTCACTTTTTCAGCTTTCCTCTGAAAAAAAGGAAATATCCTAGCAGAAGACTCACATTCACTGATAAATAGTGCAGGATGGTATTGCCAGGCCAGCTGTAGGTGATAACAAGAGGAATGCTGATGCTGTATTGGTCAAATAGGCTCCACCTAATATGATCTTCTTAGATTAAAGTTTTGGAAAATCAGTAAAAGGATTGGACAAACTTAGAATATCTTCTTTTCTTTTTTTCTTTTTATTTATTTATTTATTTTTTGAGACAGGGTCTGGTCTTGCTCTGCTGCCCAGGCTGGAATGCAGAGGCACAATCATGACTCACTGCAGCCTCAACCTCCTGACCTCAATCAATCAACCCCCCTGAGTAGCTGGGACTATAGGCACATGGCACCATGCTTGGCTAGTGTTTGTATTTTTTGTAAAGATGAAGTTTTGCCATGTTGCTCAGACTGATATCGAGCTCCTGGGCTCAAGCAATCCCCCTGCCTCGGCCTCTGTTGGGGTTATGGGTGTCTTCTTAAGAAGAAAATTGCTTGCTGTTAATGTTTTCCAATGCATGAAAGCAGTGATTCTCAAAACATTCTTTGCATCTGGAGCAGTCTGTGGTCTATGCTGTGATAGCAAAAGCTGCTGTATTCATGGAGCATCATGATGACTGAGAGTTTTAAGGGATTGGGGGAAAATACTGTTGCTCAGTAAGGTAAATATCTTGGCCACAGAACTTATTTTCCTTATTTTCTTTGGTTTCAACAGCCTGCCTCAGCTGTGCAAAATGTACCAGCCTGAAACGCAAGTCAGAATCCCTTATGAAGTATATTTGCTTTGTGTGCAGTTGAAATTAGAGACTTGCTTCTGTTTGACTTACACACACATTCCCTTCGGTTTTCTTATCTAGTTTTGATGGATGAGTTAAGAAAAGTGCTTCTGTTAGCTCAGGAAGAGCCTCCTGCCTGGGGCTCTTGCCCTTCTTCCCCAGGAGGAAGTTCATTAGAGCAGTGTATCACAAAGAACACTGCCTTATCAGCAGGGACTGCCGATTCATTTCACTTGACCCGTGATCAGCTGTTTGCCCTGGGTGACACCTGCCACCTTTCGGGACCTTAGTGGCCCCACCTTATCTGCCTGAAATAAGGGATAGCTCATCTTGGGAGTATGCTTCTGAGATCTATGCCTATGATTGTGCCCCACACCTTATAGCAGGGACTCTGGGTAACAAAACCTCTATGTATGATGAGCACTGTTCTCTGTGTCTGGATGCATGGTGAGCACAATTCTCTGTATCTGGAATGCCCTTCTTGGTCTGAGCCTCTCAGTTCCTCCTCCAGGACTAGCACCCCTCTACAAAGCCTTCCTGACACCCCCCCCACCCCCCCGCCTCCCACCTTTTGTTCCTGATTTGTTCTCTCCTGTACACCTGCACATGGCCACAGCAGCTCTTAACTTCCCTCCAAACCTGCATATAGTCTCCATGAGATTACTTGTTATTTGGTAATTGAAATTCCTCCAAACACTTTATAGCAGTCTTGTGGTTCCCTGGGGAGGACAGTAGTTAGCAGTGGTGAAGGATATAACTTTCCTATTATGGTTTTCAGGGATGGGGAAGCAATAAGTCCCTACCTGCTATTTATCATCCAACATTTCAAATTATTCACATTGATTTCCAATCTTTACAGATTGCATGCAATCACATGAATACAGACAGCCTGGCTACTGACTCTAGTCCTACACACAAGCCCTGGTCAGTGTGTCTTGACGACAGGTTCAATTTAGCTCATCAAATCCGCAACAAGCAGTGCCGCCTCTACTCCTTAGGGTGAGTACATTTTTTACAGCAGAAGAAAACACAAACACTCCTTCAGGCAGCCCAGGCCTTTTCAGCAACACGGAGTTAGAAATGGGTGTAGTGTATAACAGGTGCCATTCTTTGCCCCGTCATCATTTCAGGCTGATCCGTCTGTTGTGTAAATGGAGGCACGCACAGATCACTGAGGTCTCCTTGGCCAGAGGCACTTTCCCTCTCATTCTGCTGGTAGCAAGTTGGCAGCCCCCGTTCTCAGCTTACAGATGATCCTCTTGGTGAAACCAGTGATGTCCAGTTAGAATAAGAGCATCCTTAGTATTAAGAGAGAGAAGAATATTACTGAGTGCAGCCAAAAAAAAAAAAAAAAAAAAAAAAAAAAAGAGTATGTTAGATTTTTTTTCTTTTCTTGAGAGAGGATCTCACTCTGTTGCCCAGGCTGGAGTGCAGTGGCAGGATCACGGCTCACTGCAACCCTTGCCTCCCAGGATTAAGTGATCCTCCCACCAGCAGCCTCATGAGTAGCTGGGACCACAGGCACGCACCACCACACCTGGCTAATTTTTTGTATTTCTGGTAGAGACAGGGTTTTGCCATGTTGCCCAGGTTGATCTTGAATACCTGAGCTCAAGCAAGCCACCTGCCTTGGCCTCCCAACGTGCTAGGATTACAGGTGTGAGCCACTGCACCTGGCCGTATGTTAGAAATTTTATGCACAGTTATGATGTATAACTGAAAACAAACAATGGCCATTGTTAGATTTGTATGTTTTATACCAATGATAAATCTACATCTAGTTAAATTTTTAAAAAAAGGACTAAAAGGGAACTCTTATAAAAAACCATGTCATGTTGTCAAAACTGAGAAAAAATGATATCCAGTTATTCAGGTTGAAAATGACCTAGATGTACAAGTAGATTAAGAGAGCTTTTTTGTGAAAGGATGACTACAAAGTAATGGGACTGTTTTGCCAAAATATACCAGTACTTATATAAAAACAGTTCTGAACTTACAAATGATATATGACTCAAAAAAAAAAAAAAAAAAGACAGGAGGAAATTATTTTTGTTTGGAACTCTTTGTAAGGGCAATGTAGATCCTCAGGCTAGACTACTGAAGTCTTTTACAAACAGCGCTGGGGACCCTGATATGATATTGATCGTTTCCATGTCACATGCTTTCTCCTTACCTGTAGGTTTCATCAACTCTAGAGTCTACATTCAGGCCCAGGTACAACAATCACCAGCCAGAATCCTAGGTGGTCAGGGTTAGGGATAGACATCTGGGTGATGTGGGATGTCAAGGTCAAAAGGATGATTATCACTGTCAAACGATAACAAACACGAATTACCAGTCATTGTGGATTTCATTTTTTAAAAAACAAAATAAGAGTTTAAAGATAGGGTTCTCCTATGGGTTAAATGAAGAGCAATGGTGTATGTTGGTGGAGCTTGGCACATACTAGGCACACGATACATATTTGCTGTGTAGAAGATGGCTGGAGAGGAGAGGCCAGGGAGGGAAGCTAGTTATGCTGTGATTAAAGTGTGGAGGGTGTGGATTCGAAGAAGAGATGCTCAGCTAATTGATTAGAACAGAGCTCTCTTTCTGGAAGCCCACCAGCTATGCTTCAAGATTGGAGGAAGGATGGGAAGTTGTGACAGCAGAATTTATTTTATGTCAACATTAAAAATGTCTGAAAGTGGGTCATTAAAAAATTGCATAGTACCACATGCAAGCTGGTCCTATTTTCTTGCTCCAAATTGCCTCTATATTTTGCTGAATGTTTTACGCCCTGTGATAATTTCATTTAAAGGTTATAACTGAGTAAAATAAAACTTAGAGAGGTGTTTTGGGGGAAAGTTTCTAAATTCCTTTTTGCTTTCCTTATACTTCAAAGCTGTTGGATAAGGTAGTTCTGCAGTAAGAGTTCAGATTATTACATGTAAAAAGGTAGTCTCCTATTTTAAAATATTTTTATTGGCATATATTTGTACACATTTATGGGGTACATGTGACATTTTGTTGCATGAGTAGTAATCAAGTCAGGGCATTTAGAGTATCCATCATCTAAAGCATTGATCATTTCTGTATTGGGAGCATTTCTAGTCCTCTCTTCTAGCTATTCTGAAATACAAAATTTATGGTTGTTAACTAGTCGCCCTACTCTACTTTTGAATATTAGAACTTATTCCTTCCACGACAGGAAAATAGGGTCTGGAGGCAGGGAATATAAGGCCAATTCACAGTTCACCTGTGACAGGAAATATCCTCTCCCTAGGGCATACACCAAGTAAATGACTTCGTAACTTTACTTCATTCCTCTTCATTTACATAGGGTGTACACCAGGTAACCAATGGAAACCTCTAGAGGATATTTAAAAGCCCCAAAATTCTGTCACGGGGCCCTTGAGCCCCTGTGCTCAGGCCTGCTCCCACACTGTGGAGTGTACTTTCATTTTCAAGTAATTTCTGCTTTTGTTGCTTCATTCCTTCCTTGCTTTGTTTGTGCGTTTTGTCCAATTCTTCGTTAAAGGCACCAAGAACCTGGACACCCCTGCACCGATAACACTTTTATCTAACTGTATGTTTGTACCCGTTAAACAACCTCTTTTCACTTCCCTCTAAACACCCTTCCCAGCCTCTGATAACCATCATTCTACTCTCTTACCTCCAAGAGATCAACTTTTTAGCTCCAGTGTATGAGTGAGAAGATCCAGTGTTTGTCTTTCTGTGTCTGACTTGTTTCATTTCACATACTGACCTCCAGTTCCAAACATGCTGCAAATGACAGGATTTTATTCTTTTTTGTGGCCAAATAGTATTCCGTTGTGTATATACGCCACATTTTCTTTATTCGTTTATCACTAATGGACACTTAGCTTGACTCCATATCTTCGTTATTGTGAATGGTGCTGCAATTAACATGGGGGTGCAGGCATCCCTTTGATATACTGCTTTCCTTTCCTTTGGATACATACTCAGAAGCGGGATTGCTGGATTGTATGGTAGTCCTATTTTTAGTCTTTTGAGAAATTTCCATACTGCTTTCCATAATGGCTATACTAATTTACATTCCCATAATCAGTGTGTAAAAGTTTCCTTTTCTCCAAATCCTTGCCAGTGTCTGTTATTTTTTGTTGTTTTAATAGTAGCCATTCTAACTGAGATAAGATAATATCTCATTTGTTTTTGATGTACATATTCCTGATGATTACGGAGGCTGAGCAGTTTTTTATATATTTGTTCAAAAGAAATACAGACAAATGGGACTGTATTAAACCAAAAAGATCCTGCACACAAAAGAAAGAGTCAACAGAGTGAAAAGACAACCTGTTAAATGGGAGAAAATATTTGCAAACTATTTATCCATCAAGTGACTAACATCCAGAGTATACATGGAACTCAAACAACTCAGTAGCAAAACAAACAAACAATCAAATAATTTCATGAAAAAGTGGGCAAAGGAAACGAGTAGACATTTCTCAAAAGAAGTTTCTTATTTTCACTTAAATGTTTACTATTAAAAATCAACTTTAGGGCTGGGCACAGTGTCTCATGCCTGTAATTGCAGCACTTTTTGAGGCTGAGGCTGGCAGATCACTTGAGGTTAGGAGTTTGAAACCAGCCTGGCTAACATGGTGAAACCCTGTCTCTACTAAAAATACAAAAATTAGCTGGGAGTGGTGGTGCACGCCTCTGGTCCCACCTACTCAGGAGGCTGAGGCTGGAGAATCACTTGAACCTGGGAGGCAGAGGTTGCAGTGAGCCAAGATTGCACCACTGCACTCCAGGCTGGGTGACAGGGCAAGACTCCGTCTCTTGCCCTGTCAAAAAAAAAAAAAAAGAAAGGGAAAGAAAATCAACTTTATAAAGGGCATCTGAATTCCACTGGGAAAAGAAATGAATAGATTACGAGGGCCAATATTTGACTAAAAACATGAAAGCACTTAATTAAAAACTGAAACTAAAGAAAATATTTCTGCTGCCTAAAAAAAGGTACTTTGGGTTGTGGGTAATTATGTTGATTGCACTTACTAAGGCTCCATGACCCAGACAAATATGACCCTGTTCAGGTGAATTGCTTGCCTGGGGCACAAGTAGATAGCTGGCTGACACCACCTCAATTGATACCTAGAGAAGAGAGAGACCCAGACCAGAATCGGTGGTCCTGAAATGAGGAGTGAGAACAGGGAAGGTGGCCCCGGGTTCCTAGCACCAGGGAGTGTCGGAACAGTTTTGAGATAGGTGGGGAGGGCAGGTGGTAAGTGAATTGTGTGGGCCCTGCATTCAGGCAGTACATGCTCCCAGTCGCAGGGCTGCAGCAGCAACGAGAAGGTGCCACTGCTATACCCGGTAATTCCCAGGCAAACCAAAGACAATGGATGCAGCTGCAGCTGGGAATAACTTCCCGGCAGTAGGGAAAGGAGGGCTTTAAGGACACAGGAGTCAGAAGGCAGAGGCTGATGGCCCCACTTTTTGATCTGTCTCATCTCCTTTCCTCCACCCCCAAGAACTGCAGCGGGTGTCACCTCCATCTTCTCTCTGATGGCTGAAGTTTATTTACTAGGAGTCAAAGGTTTTTATTCCACAATTAATGGAAAAGGCATTTGTCTGTGAGAGTACACTCTGTATCATGTTCAGTTGAAAATGAAAATCAGAGCCTTTTCAGTTTTGAAATGAGGTAGACTAGACCAATTAAGATAGGGGAAGGCACTGAAAAGAAAGGTGTATATTATGGAGAAAGGGATAGAGAAGAGGAAAAAGGAGAGGCTGTGGGTTCAGAAGATAGTATCGTCTGCATAATGACTTCAGACAGGGCGTGGCCTGCAAGTCTTTTCTTGTCTGGAGCAGGGAGGGGTGATGGTCTGGGTGGAGGGAGTGTGAGGTTGAGAGTGGTAGATAAAGCAAAGGGGGAAAGTCACCTTTTCTCCTTTTTATGTCAAAGATTGTATTTGGGGGTAGGAGTGGGCATGAGAGGAAAGATTTGAAAAGGGCTGATACATAGGTACGTA